GAGCGGGCAAGATAGCTCCATCTTGCCCGCTCGGGTAGCCAATCACAGCGCAGGATTTGATTCATCTTGCCCGCTCACGGAGCTAGCCACATAATAAAGCGTCCTTATTGCTTGTCACGCAGCAGAGGAAGGATTACGTGACGAGCCGTAGGAACGTAGAACTTTACGAAATTTGTGTAGTATCTCTAACAAACTAATAAACGGTGGAAATGTCGGATCTCAAGTAATTAGCCAAAAACTATAAATTCGTGCCCTGTGCTTCTCGTTTTAAAATATTTTTACGTGTAACTCCTCCGTTTCCCCGAACATGTAAATAGAACTGTGTCGTCTCAGACAACTCCCAACCTCTCTCGGAGAGAGCTTGGGAGGTTGGCCGAGAAGGGAATTTCTGTCTGGCTGGGCCACAGATCAACTGTTTACCTGCTGATGACGGATTCATATCGTTTCGGTGAGGACTACCACAACAAGTTTGACTCAAAAGTTTACCTTCAAAATTACAGTCAGGTTGAATCATACAGCGCATTTTCGTTAGGGTGCTTTCGGGAATTTTGGTCGCCTGAAAATGGCAAAACGAAACGCAAGAGTTCTCTACTTTGATGGGTGACCTGGCATCTACGATCTTATAAGTTCTTCACCATATGCCGAAGACATCATCTTTGCCGAGTACAGCGAAGAGAATCGGAAAGAAGTAGCCGCTTGGCGAGAAAGATATATTTCAGGTTCGTTGTGCAGAGGTTTGAAGGCAAGGGAAGCGAAAAAGCGTTGATACGAGAAGCTGAGCTAAGAAAGACAATAATTCATATTTTGCCCAGTGATATTGCACGGACGACCAAGCGAAATGGCCCTCAACATGGACTTCCAGCTTGGTTCGTTCGATGTCGTGACAACTAGTTTTTGCATTAAAGCAGCTGTGAAATCGGAAATAGAGTACAGGAATGCAATTGCCAAGTTGAGAAAATACTTGAAACCAGGTAGATATCTGGTTATGTACAGCTCCATAGGTCAGAATTGCTATAGAGTAGGCAAAGAAAAGTTCCGTCACTCTTTCGTGAGCGAGAATCAAATCCAAGAAACATTACGCAAGGAGGGCTTTGGTGAGGCGGACATGAAGTTACCAGCGGAACCAAGAAGGGAGTTGTATGATGGTGAAAAACTGTACTTTGTCGGCGCTACAGTCGAAAGTGAACAGTAGATTAAAATTGCTGCTTTAACGAAAAAGAGAGCTGTTAAAATCTGTTCAAGCTAAACTATCAACAATAACACTAAATTCAATTACAGGTTGTGTGACCACAGCGTGTTGCGTCGAACACATATTACACTACATGTATGTTGTATATTAAACAGCTGGGAATCAATGGGAGAATTTACTTTCATAATCGGCAGGGAAAAGGAATCAAATCTTATAGTTCTAATCTTGTACTACTGGTATATGACTGTGACTCAGCAATTAAAATTTCAACCAAAAGACCAAATCGGCAAGTAATAGCTGATAAAAAAGTCTAACATGACTCTAGCCTAGCGCGAAGCAAATCGAAGGGGATAAAACTCGTTCCGTGACTTACAGTGCGGACCGAGAAGACCAGGTCAGTAAGAGTTATATATTTTAGTGGCTCTAACTACGTACATGTAAACGTAGTAGGCTTAGGTATATTTGTTTCTGTTTCTATCAAAAGTAGAACACTTTTGGTAAGTATTTGAAGTTCTTTAGACGAAAGATGATCGATTGACAATAGCCAAAAAAAAAAAAAACATTTTATTTCGTTGCGCGTTTTCATCCTTTGTTGTTTTAAACTCCATACAATGCCTTTTAGAGCGCTCAAATTCTCAACGGTCCAAAGTGTAACACAAAANTTTTACTAGTCCACGTTTTACTAGTCCCCGTTTTACTGGTCCACTTTTTACAAGTCCGCGTTTTACTAGTCCACGTTTTACTAGTCCCCGTTTTACTAGTCCACGTTTTACAAGTCCGCGTTTTTACTAGTCGCGTTTTACAAGTCGGCGTTTTTTTAGTCTGCGTGTTACAAGTCCCCTTTTTATTAATCCTCATTTTACTAAGCCGCGTTTTACTAGTCCCGCGTTTGATCCGCGATTTTCTTATCCGCGTATTACTAATCTAGTCCAGTCCAGTCCATGGAAAACAGTATGCCTTGAAAGACACGAAGCCGGTTTCTCAGTTGTTCAGTTCATATAGCCTCCTTATGGCTCGTCACGCAATCTTTCCTCGATTGCGTGACGAACTATAAAAACGTCTGCGCATGAGGCTATACTCTGTAGAACTTTACGAAATTTCTGTAGTTTCTCTGATATTTGATACATGAACGGTGGAAAAGTCGGAATTCAAGTAATTCGCCATAATTGAACTATAAATTGCTTAAAATTTATCCCTAGTGTTTCTCGATTTAATATGTCGTTACGAGTCAGGCTCCGTTTTCTCGACCACGTGACCAAAAGAAGGATCGGTGAGAGAAGAAAGAGCAGAGAATCTCTCTGCCTCTCAAGACCGCAGACTGTATACCTTGTGACGATGGATTCATTACGTTTCGGTGAAGATTATCACAGCAAGTTTGACCCAAAAGCTTACCTGAACTATTACAACGGAGCAGGCGATCAGCTTGAATACAGAGAATTTCCACTAAGATGCTTTCATGAATTTTGGTCAAAAATGGCAAAACGAAACGCAAGAGTTCTCAACTTCGGTGGGGGACCTGCCATCTTCGATCTTATAAGTGCTGCACCACATACCGAAGAGATCATCTTTGCCGAGTACAGCGAAGAGAATCGAAAAGAAGTAGCCGCTTGGCGAGAACGATCAGGTGATGCTCACGACTGGTCGCCATATTTCAGGTTCGTTGTGCAAAGTTTTGAAGGCAAGGGAAGCGAAGAAGCGTTGATACGAGAAGCTGAGCTAAGGAAGAAAATTTATTTTATAAGTACAGAGATTTATCCACAGAGATGACAGTGATGAAAACATCGTTCTGTTTTTAGTCGCAGCCAATCAGCGACGCGAACGATGAAATTTCACTAGTAAAAAATCATCGTTCGCGACGTCTGATTGGACGAACGATGTTTTTCACTAGTGAAAAGTGATCGTACGGCAAGCCACGGCATCCTTGGCGCGAAACCTGGCAAGCCGCCTTTTTATTTTCAAGATGTCGGAAAGGTTTGTAGACGTCGGTTCAGTTGACAATTTTATTG